TTGAAAGCAGTCTGAAAAGTAATCATATTTGCAACCAGCGCCCCCCCCCCCCCCAACCATGTCCTGAATGGTCTTTTTTTTACTGCTCTCTCCAGGCCTGGCAGAAGACAGGTTCATTCTCAGGAAAGATATGACCATGAGTCTCCAGACTGGGGTACCAAGCAGAAAGATTAAGAGACTGTATGCTTTTGTGTGCTGAGACTCCTCAAGACTCTTCCCCTCCTCACCTTCCAGAACTCAGACAGGGAAGATTCTCTTGGGATACTGCCCAGCCCAGAGGCAAGATACCTGCATCAGGGTTACCCAAGGAAATAGCCAGGGCAGACTGCCCTCCTCTGAAGCTCACAGTTGACAAGCTCCATTCATGTGAACAAAGCTTCAAATCAGCTTTTTTGCCCCCACTACCAAGCATAAGCAGGCAGCTATTAAAAGACATCTGAAGAAAGCCACTTGGAGAAAAATAAAGACTATACAAGAGGAAGAAAACTTCCAGAAAATGATATATTTAGTATCCTCACAGCTTTTAGAAGAGATGGTGCAACCAGGAAAGAAGAACAGATTGCAAGTAAAATTAGGACCCTCAGAGAACAAACAACAACCTAAAGACCTTGGAAATTAAATTTATGATGGAAGAAATGAAAGCCTCAGTAGAAGGGCTACAAAAATAAAGATTTGGCCAAAAAAAAAAAAAAAAAAAAAAAGAAAAAAAAACACAGAAAAACCAAAAACAAAAACAAAAAAAACAATAAAATGGAGTATAGGAAAAAAATATATGGAAATTAGAGGATCTGTCTAGGAGTTCCAGTACCCAAATAATAGGAGTGCCAGAAAGAGATATGAAAACACAGAGGGGAGGAAATCGTCAAATGAAATAATTTAAGAAAATTTTCTAGAGTTGAACTGTCAAAATGGATGAAGGTAAACCTATCCCCAAGCACATCCGTGTAAAATTTCAGAACACTAGGGACAAAGAGGGGAGACTGCAGGCTTCCCTAGAGAAAATAGATGATATTCAGAGGATTAAGAATCAGAATGTGTTGGGGCACCTGGGTGGCTCAGTCAGTTGAGCGCCTGGCTCTTGATTTTGAATCAGGTCACGGTCTCACAGCTCATGGGATCAAGCCCTGCATCGGGCTCTACACTAACAATATGGAGCCTGCTTGGGATTCTCCCTCTCTCTCTGCCTCTCCCTCACTTGTGCTTGCTCTCTCTCTCAAAATAAATACATAGACATAAAAAAAAAAGAATGTCTTTGGACTTTCCAATCATAACACTGGAGGCTAGATCACAAGGCAATGTTGCTTTCAAAATTCTGAAGGAGTTATTTTCAACCTAGATTCTTTTTATACCTAGCCCAACCATCTATTAAGTAAAAGCTTAGAATACAGACAGTTTCACTTGCAAGGTCCCCCCCCAATTTACCACCCATCCACTTTTCTCAAGAAGTGACTGAAAGATGTGTCCCACAAAAATAGGAAAGGAGAAGAGTTTGGACTTGGGATCGAAGAAAAAGATGAAGAGAATCCCAGGCTCATAGTGAAGGGACCTCCTAAGAGACAGTGCCACCTACAACAGCTCAGGAAGACAGACTGGAGACGATCTACATGAGGAAGGTGGTCAGAAGGCTGTGGAAGAGATTTCCTCAAGAGGATAAACAAATTTGATAGCTGAATCTAAACATCTTGAGAGGAGTTAAATAGTGACAGCCTTTAGTGGAACTGGTGGTGAGTACATGGAAAACTAAGTAAATGAAAAAAGGCATTCCCAGGAAAATTAAAGGGTGTATAAAAAAGAAAAAGTCATCTACATTTGAGACATGCCTCAGCTCTCAATATCATAATAAAATAAACACTGATTTTTTTAACGAAGCAAAACTATAACGTCACCATGCCCTCACTCTGATGTAAGTGTATATGTGAGTGCTGCAGGGAAGAGGAAGGAATGATGGAAAAAATGAGAGTCAAATCTTCACTCTCTCTAAGGGAAAGTCAGTAGATAAAAGTGCCTAAAATTGCGGGATCAAGAAGTAGCATGATACTAGCATTTTATTTAAAAAACAGAGAGTTAAATGCCAAAAAGAAAATCAGCAGGGCCCCTGGGTGGCTCCGCTGGTTAAGTGTCTGACTCCGATTTCAGCTCACGTCATGATCTCACGGTTCATGGGACTGAGCCCTGCATTGGGCTCCACAACAACATGGCGTCTGCTTGGGATTCTCTCCGTCTCTGCCCCTCCCTCAGTTGTGCTTGCTCTCTCTCCATCTCTCTCTCTCAAAATAAATAAATAAACTTAAGAAAGAAAGAAAGAAAGAAAGAAAGAAAGAAAGAAAGAAAGAAAGAAA